TATCAAAAATCTTTTAAATCAAAGAAAATTTAAGCTTGGATAAGCTTAATACAGGGATACCCAAATGATTTTCTTCAATAAACTTTTAATACTAGGATAATTTTTTATCCTATATTTAATTCCTAACAGATCCACTACTAATTTTAATAACCGGGCAATTTCCAGGGAATCTGAAAATTTTTTGTTCTTCATCTTCTTCGTTCCATTGTTTTGAAATTTGATGCGAAACCACTCTAAATCTTCTCCAAATTGCCCTAAATTTTAGATTTAAGCTTCCCTTGGAGTTTCGATTCTTTTGATATATTACGCACTCAAAAAGGTGCTCGTTGTGGCAAGTTGAATTTTTAGCTCAAGCTTTTGAACTAACTTTAATGGAGGTTTCAAGTTAATACTTCACATTAAACCATGAGCTTCAGTTTTCAATTCTCAAACATAAAGAACTCTTCAAATCATCTGAAAGTTGCTCCCACTTCAAGAATATAGATTCAATAATTTCATATGGAAGCTTGTCGATTTCCATGAAATTCCGGTGTTTCTTCAAATCTAAAAATCGCAACCATAAACTCAATCAAACTCAATGTATTTAGCTTCAAATAATTAGCAGCCATCTATGTTATCAACATGTTTCAAATTTGAAGATCCAAAATACATTCATAAACTTAGACCTTAAATTGTTTTTTTAAAAAAATAACAAGTCAGAAAGGGAGAAGAATAAAAAAAAAAATTAGGGCTAAAAAATGAATGAAGAAGAAAGAGAAAAAAACGTTTTAAAAAAAATGATCAAAAGGTGAAATACACGTGTCAAGTGCGTGTGTTTCACCACAAGACACATATCTGGTTATGATGTTTTAAGGGGCTACTTATTTCATTTTAAAATAATTCAAGGGGGTAATAGGACCCCCGTGAAGTATGAGTGTGTAGTTGGAAATCCGGCTATAGGTTAGGAGGGCTTTTGCCTATTTTCTCTTTAATAATTACAAAACTATCCTTAAAGCCTTTTTATTTTCTTTGTTGTCATAATTTTTTTATTTTTTTTTTGATTTGTTTTTTAGTGTCTTTTAATTTTTTGGTGTCTTAATAGGCTTTATGGCCTCTTAAGTATCTTTTTTTTTTAAAAAAATAAATCTAATTTCAATATAATTTAATCAAAATTTTTACTATTGTGACGATAAATTTGATAAAAAAAAAACTATTTGCCACTTTTCACAAAAATATTTTGACGCAATAGTACAACTATTTAATCTTATTTTTGAAAAAAAAAAGAAAAAGAAGAAGAAGAAGAAGATGTTTTAGCAAAGATATCTTTTTCGGTGTGCAAAGAACTTTATTGCAAAGGAAGTGTACAAATAAATAAAGTGTGAAAGGTATTTTTGTAAACATATATTTTTCAATAGAAATTATGCAAGATTTGTTATTTCTAATACATCGAATCAAACAATGTATAAGAAATAATGCTTGCATAACTAATACATGCATTACTAATACACCCTATTTTGTATTGTTCTTATACAATCTACCAAACGACCTCAGTGTGTAGAATTTTTCTAGAAAATGTCTTATCAATTCACAAATTAATGAATGAAATTCTATCTGTCAAATTGAACCAATCAAGGAGGTCTATCTGGCAAAGATCATTAAAATTTATACCATTTTTTGTACCTTTTTATATTCTTGAGTGTGAATGGCTTTATTATTTCATGGACTTTAGTTATTTAAGTTTACACATTATGATAATTTAAATGTTACACTAGATTATAAATAGAGTTATTTATAACTCCTTCTAGTTGACTTAAATTATAAATATTCTTTAAATGACTTGCATATAACACAATAATACTACTATTTGACATAATTTCATAGACTTTTTAGAAGATTGTGCTATTTGGGGTTTTAGCCTAGAACTCATTCATTGAAATGAACACTCATAATCACTATGTCATACTCTTTTTGTTCCTAATTACTTATCCACATTTAAATTGACACACCTATTAAGAAAATAATTATTGATATAGCGAGTTTATCATTTTACCACTATTAATTATGAATTGAATGAATTAAAAACTTAAGATTTTCAAGAAGTTCCATCTTTTTTAAAGTAATTAATTGAGAGTATAATGAGTAATTTTTTTTTTGTCCTTTCTTGATTTGTCAAATGGACAAGTAATTAGGGACAACTATTTAAAGAAAAGTAGACAAGTAATTAAGGACAGAAGAAGTAACTTTTGTTAACGGTGTCCAACTTTAAATATATATATATATATATATATATATATCTTTAAATTCTATATATGTATAACGTAATTTTCCGACGAAAAATGTTCAATTGGACACTCTAGGATAGCTCTAGCTACACTGATCCCGTGTTTA